TTTGCGTCTCAAACTGTTATAGGTGGAGCCTCCCTCTGGCTTGCCCGACGCCAGCACAGTGACTGCCAGTTTGCGAACCCGTGCTAGCAGGCTAGGAGGAAGGCACAGCAGGCTGCGTGTCACGGGGGAGGGGGTGGCCTCAGAGCTCAGTAGGCAGCCAGGGGGATGGAGCGCTTTAAGCTTCTCAAAGTTCCCAACCTGCTGGGCAGAGCATGCCCAGACAACCTTGTCCAGCCCTCCCCTCCCCCGGCGTAGCAACCTCTGTGCAAACCCCACCCCTTCAGCAGCCCTCTGGCTGCTAGGAAGCCTCTTAGACCACCTGCCTTTCCTCTGTTCCAGAGTGGACGGATGTGGATCCCCTCCACCACAAAAGGCGGGAATCTCAGTCTCTCAAGCACTCTGCCTGTCTGAGGTCCCCAACGTCCAGAGCACCACATAGTGTAGGTTTCTGCTCACAAAGCAGATCTCCAGAGTCAGGTGTTCAGCAGTCCCAGGCTTCCACCCCCTCGCCTCTCCGTTTCTCTTCTCCTGCTGGTGGGCTGGGGTGGGGGAAGGGCTCGAGTCCCAGTGGATGAAGGCTTTCGTATGTTACCCTGTTTCATGAGGTCTGCTCTGTTTGTGAGGTCCGTGTGCAGTCTGGTGCAGCCTTCTTTCTTGTTGCTGTTTTAGGATCAGTGGTATTAATTAACTATATTTTCATACAATTTGAGGTTTTGGGAGTTCTCCCTCTCACCTCTCACTGCGCCATCTTGAATCTCAAGACACTTTTTTTTGTTTTAATTGCCAACATAAAAAGGATTTAGAAACTTCCCAGAGGGCCAATAAGTTGCAGATTTCAACTTTAGAGCTCACCTTTTTTCCTTATTTCCAGTCCAGTGTTTTTTCCACTTTTTAGACCTTTTTATTGAGGTACAGTACACATACAGAAAAGTGGGCATAATATTAACTGTCCAACTGCATGAGCTTTTATAAGCAAAACCTCCACCTATAAGAGAGCATTGCCGTTTAAATTCATACAGACAGAAACGCTGAGGGTGGTATCAGGGACAGGGCTTAGAGGGCTAGTGGTTAATGCATACCAAGTTCAGTTGTGGGAAGATGAAAAAAGTTGCTAGAGATGGATAGCCACATGATGGTGTGAATGTACTTTTAAAAAAAATGCCGTTAAACACGCCTTTATAATGGTGGTAAATTTTTTAAGCGCATTTTACCACAATAAAAATATCACCAGAGCTGCAGGTGTTGCCCTCCAGCTTCCTTCCAGCTGCTCCACAGCCCGCGCTCCCCGGGTTAACCAAGGGGAATTGAAAACATCATTAAAGGGAACCTTAGGGATCTGGCCGTCTGATCATCTAGTTTTACACCCAAGTGGAAAGGAGAAAAGGAAAAGCACAAAGATTCTTTGCCTGAGCTCGTACAAGAGTTCATTGTCCAATGATTATTTGCCAGGGCAAAGTGGATTGAATGGGAACATAAATACTCCTTTAACCTGTATTAGCTGAACACTTGGATTCTATCAAATAGTAGCAGCTAGCAGATGACAGTTTACAAAATTCTTCAACGTGCTCATCTAGAAGGACATGAGAGGACACCATCTGAGCATGGGACAAGGGGCAGGTGATCACACAGCACAGGATTGGCTGACACAGCCCTTGGCTCAAGCACCTGGCTCAGGGCACCTGTTGGGCTAATGTTTACACTTATCCTGAAACTTGATGGCATGTTTGTTCACTTTGTTCTCTGTTTCTTCTTAAACTATTAACTAATATAATATTTGCTACAAAGGAAAGACTATGCACAGTATATGTAAGTGATGAATCAGAATAATAAAAAGATACTAAGGGAGTTTGCTGTACATTATAAATCACTAGAAACTTATCTGTCTCTGCAGTTTAAATCACTAAAAAAGCTATTAAGAGAGAGTGTACCGTATGCATGCCAGGTCTCGTCCGTAGTGTTGTTGGAGTCTGAGGCTGTTTGATACTTGTCCTTTCTAGTGTCGCCTGGTGTCTACCAAAAGGGAATTGGCTGGAGTCAGGGCTGAATTTTAGATAAAGGGTGAGAAAGAACCCTTGAGTACCATGGCTCTGGCTGCTGCTGGGGAGTTCACTGCACGCACTCTCCTGGTCAGATTCAGTGCTGTTCCTCCCTTTCCCGCCAGCTTCACATCAAAACCAAACACTGCTCAAACATTGCCATTGTAATTAGACGAAGGAGATGCATTCCTTCACCTTTGGGAAGATTGAGGTGGGTGGGACCTGTTCCTGGTGGTGTTTTGCTGCAGCTACACCCAGGTTCTCCAGGCGTGGTAAGCATAAATCGTTGGCCACTAGCTGTCCCTAGTTTGGAGTCTGCTTCTTAACCACATTTCTCAAAACTGAAAAACTCTTATTGGTCTGGGAGTCGATTACATTTAGTTAAGCAGCCAGTACTACTTACTAAGCTACTATGTGGGAAAGTATTGATAATAAAAGCCTCAATGAAAACTGATTTTTTCTCTCTCACTTAGAATGGCACCAGACCTCCACTAGATGCAGATGTGAATTTGGAAGCACTGGCTGGTGACCTCCGCTGTGACTGCTATTCGTAAGTAACTACTCACAGTTGAGTCTGCCAGCGCTTTGAAGGCTCAGCGTCCCGTATAAAGTAACATCGTTGGGAGGACTACTAATTCAGCTCCCTAGAGGAGCTGCATTAGGGCCTGGCCCTCCTCGCTTCTTCCTTCTCAGAGAAAGGACTTCTGGGTTGGAGGCTCTGAGGAGTGCCAGGGACTGGGGGACGCTCCCACATGTGGACTCGGTGCACAGCCTCCCTGACCACCATGACTGCTGCCTTCCACAGATAGCCCGCCCTTCTCCCAGGGTTCTTGAGCAGCTGTGTCACTACTTGGGGGCCAGACTGTCCAGGTACTACAACATTTAACGGAGAAAGAGCCATAAGCCATGTTTCCAGGCCCATTCACGTTCAGCTTCAGTATGCTTTCTGGTGTAGTTTCTGTTGTTTCTTGACATGTTTTAGGTAAATTTGTTAGCTTTCCCACTTTTGGTACACAGGGGAGAAAATGAAGGTCAAGTTTATTTGATGGGTAAACATCTCCCCCGCCCCGGCTTGCTCTAAAAGCTCTGTAGATTGTCCACAGTATACTTGGTCCTCATGATGCCTCTGCGGCAAGCCAAGTAATGTTTTCCAACATTACTAAGTGAGTTAAGTAGTAGTGTTCCCATCTCTGAGGTCTTCAAGAGTCTTATTTTCAGCCATGTAAACTTACATCCAAAGACATACCCACAGGTGGCACTGAGGTACTCGGTCATTTCCGGTTCTGGTTGAAAACCATCTCTATCAAGATGAGTCCACTTAAAACCATGTAGATCGTTTTTAGGGAGTGTGCTGAGGATACAAAGTTGTATTCCCCAGCTCCCTCATACATGGACATCTAGGGCTGTGAGTCTCCTCCTTTGCTGTGCCACCCTGGCACACCTGACATGCCGTAGTGTGGCCAGGATGCTGCCTCTCTTCGAAAGCAGCAATCACCTCAGTGAAAGAGAAACGATCAAGTCCCACGCAGCGGTGGTGAGGGGCACCAGGAAAAGCACCCCCCTCCCCTTTATGGAGATGTAGATCTTCCCCTAGTTGGGAATCAAACCCGGACCAGTCTGCTACCAAGGGGGAAAAAAAGACTTAAGTGAGTAATTTATAGCTTGACTGCTAAAATCAGTAAAGATTTTCAATGGGTAACAGGTCGTTTTCATGGGAGAACTACCCTGGGCCAAATTTTTTGGAGTACACTACATAGGAAAGGGGTGTCAGATCATAAAGGGGTCGGGGGTGGGGGGAGAATTCAGTGGCGTACATAATGGGTTCTGACGCTGCTGTCATGGGTGAGACACCCTGATACTGCAGTTCCTAGGACTTCCTTGCATTAGCTAATGGTGTCTCTACACCAGTGGTAGATTTCCCATTAAGGGAAGGCATGGGTACCCCAGCATGTACGAGATTATTAAGTACTGTTATAATCCTAACACTTAGCCAACAGAAACACTGGATTCAGTTAATAATGAGCTCATGTGTAGAAATGAGGTTTTTATCCCCAAATGCACTTTCTCAAAGAATCTGTAAACATTCTGTTGAAGATGAACCTGAAGAAGTACCAGTCAGCACCAATGTCTTACACTGAATGTAGGAGCCAAGCTGACTCAGCACATTTTCCCACAGAATAATAAAATGAAGGCTTGTTATTCTTGTCATATTTAAGCAATTTATGATTTTTCCACTCAAGCTTGAATTAAGTGCATCAAAGACTCTGTTTTTCCCTTTTGAACTAGGAGCCATAGATGACTTTTTATACATGTTTATTTTAGACACTAGGTAATATATAAATGGGCTAGTCAGCACTTTAGCATAGGCCTTAAGATGAGGATTTACTATAAATAATATGTTTCTTTCTACTGACTGGATGTTTTAGACTTCTTATATTTACTATCTGTAACTATTAGTATGCAAATATTTGTGATTGATTGCATTGTTTCCTCCATAATTTCTTTTTTTCTGAAAGTCAGAAATGCTTTTGAATTTCTTATGTACTTATTTTAAATTATTCATACATTTTTATTAAGGTACATTTATAAAATTCACAGATCTGAGTGTACAGCTCAGTGAATTTTTGAAGTGTGTATACACTCGTGTAAACATCACCCAGATCAAGATACTAAAGATTCTCACTAAATTTTCCCCTAAACCTATTTCACCCATGGCCCTACTCCCCTTTGGCAGCCACCATTCTGTTTTTTGTGTTTATGAATCTGTTTCTGGTTTGTTTTATCTTTTATATTCCACATCTAAGTGAGGCCATATGGTATTTGTCAACCTGTGTCTGATTTTATTTCACTCAGCATAATACCCTGTAGGTTCATCCCTGTTGCAAGTGGCAGGATTTTTTTTATAACTAATATTCTATTGTGTATATGTACATCTTCTTTATCCATCCATTCATCTATCCGTGGACATCGGTTGCTTCCGTATCTTGGCTATTGTAAATAATGCTGTGATAACACAGGGGTGCATGTATTTCCTCAAATTAATGATTTTGTTTTCTTTGGAATTCCTGGGTCATATGATATCTGTATTTTAGTGTTTTGAGGAACCCCCATGCTGTTTTCCCACGGTGGTTATACCAATTTACATTCCCACCAACCGTGTAGGAGGGTTCCCATTTCTCCACATCCTCGCTTGTTATTTCTTGTCTTTTGGGTAGTGGCCGTTCTGACTGGTGTGAGATGTTATCATTGTGATTTTGATTTGCATTTCCCTGATGATTAGTGATTGTGGAGCATCTTGCATGTGTCTGTTTTCCATCTGTATGTCTTTTTTGGAAAAATGTTTTTTTAGGTCCTCTGCCCATTTTTTATTGGATTATTTGTTTTTTGTTTTTTTTAGTGTTGAGTTATATGAGCTTTTTCTGTATTTTGGGTATTAGCTTCTTATTGGGTATATCATTTACAGTTATATTCTCCTAATCAGTAGGTTGTCTTTTGGTTATGTTAAAAGTTAAGAAATATTTTAAGTGAAAGCTGAAAGCTCTTTCTTACTGACTGTAATCAGTTTATCGCACTTTTATTGGTCACTAACAACTTCATCATTGAACAATTTCCTGATTGTTTAATATGTGACTTCAAAGAACATTGCTGCCAGACTTCTTTTTGGGCTTTTGTAGTATCTAAGAACAAATAGAAAGAACACTTCTTTTATTTTAGGGGTGCAGATCTCTCTGCTTTGGTACGAGAAGCTTCAGTCTGTGCCTTGAGACAGGAAATGGCAAGACAGAAGAGTGGAAATGAAAAAGGTAAAATTCTCCCCAGAGTCTCTTGGTTCTAATTAATTTTCACTCTGGATACCTAAAACCACTGTTGACCTAGAAAATGACCATTTGCTAACATCAGTTATCTGTGATATTAAAACTGACACTTTTCTGATGAAACCTTTAGAAACCATTCTGGAAAGTGATGTAACCTCTGTAGCTGACAACCATAATAATGACAGATTTGGTGCCTCTAATCACATACAAATGCTTAGGTTTTTAGGTTTAGGCAAGTGCGTCTCTTCATCTCTCTTCGCCATGAGTTTGGTGTATTTATCAGTTCTGGAAAGGCTTCCTGTTCTTTTGCTAGTCTGACACCTACTTTCCAGTTAAAATGCAGCCTAATTGGAGAGCTTAAAAAACACATGTGCAATGATATTAGATCAGCATATGCTTAGCTTAGATTTTTCCACACACATCTCTTACTTATGAAGTGTCTGAGTTTTCTTGTTGTTTAATTTTAAGATTTAGTTATAACTCCATAGCACCTGATTGTTTGTGTGTGCTCTTAAATATGATGGAATTGTACATTTCATTCCCATTCAAACAAGTTAAATTTATTTGAACTATCTTAGAAGATAATTCTGGTTCTTCATAAATGTCACCATTAAGTCAAGGTAAACAATGCACAGAGGGCAACAGAGGTCATGTGTTATGAGTGGTAGGTCTTTTTGGCTGTCACTGTGTTAAAATCTGACAAACATGGGGGAAATGAGGAGACTGGTCAAAGGATCCCAGCTTTCTGCTGTAAGATGAGTTTGTCCTGGGGGTTTAGTGCAGGGCGTGGTGACTAGTTGGCAGTACTGTATAGTATCTTTGAAGGGCATTAAAGGAGCAGCTCTTAAAAAGTCACCACCACAAAGAAGGTAATCGTGTAGAGATGGAGGTGTTAACTAGCCTTTATGAAGTGATCATTTTGCAATATCTGTCTATCACATCATCACATAGCACCTTAAATTTACTCATATTACATGTCACCAGTGCTTCATTAAAGCTGGGATGGGCGGGCTAAGTTAGATGTGGACTGTTTTTTTAAAGATAAGAATATCTCTCTGAAGATATAATACTTTTTTATATAATTTGTCCCAAAATAAATGTTTTGATTGCTGAGCAGGGAAAGATTATTCTAAAGTCTATATTATAAAACAAACATTTATGTAAAATTTGGTCAGGTATGTGTAAATTAAAATGGAAAAAAAAAAGTCTTCAAAATTCTGATGGACAGAATATATCTGGTTTGAATATCATTCTAAAAAAGAAGAAAATCAGTGACCTAAATAATTTCCTCGATATCCCCCTTGAACATGTGGAAGTCTCTTCAGAGACAAAATCATAAGTGACTGTGAGTGTACTGTGCCTAGATACATATATTTATTTATACATTTGCTCCACAGGTGAACTCAAGGTCAGTCAGAGGCACTTTGAAGAGGCTTTCAAGAAAGTAAAGTCATCTATATCAAAAAAGGTAAGAAATGCGGAGAAGAGAGAGTAGAATTGCAGCCAGTGTGTATGAACTTAAGGAAACAGCAGAATGATTACTTTAGCGAGATCTTTCTTGAGAGAGAGGTTTTAATTTTACATGGTTCTTACACACTGAAATTCAGAGAATGACCTCTGTGTCTGTTTCCCTAGTCTCAGAATTTTTCATCAGACTCATTCAAGTATTATTCAAACTACTACACTCTTTTTAACAAATAATTTCTTATCTTACTTTCAAGGTGTTCTGTTTATATTAAGTTAAAATAGTAGTAAGTTAAAATTCCTTTAAATCCTTGGCCATTTATCACCCCAGGTTCAGTATTTCTTATTATGATCATTGATTGAAACTCCAAGTCCGAGTCTGCACAGGTGTGTGAGATGGGTTGCTGTGGTTCATTCAGTGCCTTCAGTGCCTCTGACTCCAAGACTAAATGTTCTGTTAGTTGACCGTCTTTCAACTAAGAGAGCCAGTTAAGGGGTTTGGGCTAGTAGTGGTATCTTTTAGGCACATGACTGAAGGCTTTTACCATATCGGGAGAAAAAATAGTCTCCCTTGACCTCAGGAAATGTTTTGTTTCACTGAACATCTCTTAAGTAAAACAGTTTTATTAATTAAGATTAAAAAGTTTATAGTTATTAATATTGGCACTTTCCATTCTGATCAGCAAGAGACTAGTGATACACATGTCCTCCCTAAAAAGTTATTAAATTGAAATTACTTCAACCTGAGTTTCGATGCTTCCCAAGAATGAGGACATACAGGCATAGCTCCATGTTTGCCGCTCACCTCCTCTAAACCTACTTTTTTAAATTGAAGTTTAATTTACATGCAGTAATACACAATCCAGTTCCATTAGTTTGGGCCAGTGTAACCAGACCCGCAGTTAGTGTCTAGACCATTCCTGTGCCCCGGAAAGCTCCTTCCAGATGCCACCCCAGGCAGTGCTGACCTGATGTGTGTCATCATGTCCAGCTTTGCCTGGTTCAGAACTTTACATAAGGGAAAATCATACAGTATATACTCATTGTGTCAGGGATATTCATCCATGTTGTGTTCTTCAGTAGTTTAGTCCGTTCTCTGCTGCATGAATATTAACCACCGTTTGCTCATCCTCTCACCTGTTGGTGGACACTTTAGTTGTTCTCAGTTTTTGGGAGTAATGAATAAAGGTGCTCTGAATGTGTGTTTGTGTGCATGTACATGTGTTTTGATTTGTGTGAACATGTGTTTTTATTTCTCTTGAGTAAAATGCAAGGAGAGAAATTTCTGGGTCTTATGGTATGTGTATGTTTAACTGTATAGGCAACAGCAAACCCTTTTTCCACAGTGGCTCTACCATTTTGCATTTTGTGAGAGGTCCAGTTGATCCACTCTGTCACTGACACTTGAGTATTGTTTACTTTTAGCCATTCTACTGGATTTGAAGTAGTATCCCCTTGTGGTTTAAATTTGCATGTCCCTGATGGCTGAAATGTTGAGTGTGTTTTCACATGCTTATTGGCCATTTGGGTATCTTGTTGTGTGTCCTCATCCTTTGCTCTTTAAAAAATTGAGTTGTTTTTCCCATTATACCGTTGTACAAATTCTTAATTTATTTTGGATTGAAGTCCTTTTTCAGATATATATATTGAGGATATTTTCTCCTGCTCTGTTGTTTACCTTTTTATTTTCTTAAGGCATCTTTTGAAGAACGGGAGTTTTGAATTCAGATGAAGGCCAATTTATCGTTTTTTCTTGTATCGTTTGTGTGTTTCTGTTGTAAGAAATTTGGACTATCCCAAGTTTGCAAAAATTTTCTTCTTTGTTTTTTTCTACAAGTTAGGTTATTTTCTTTAGGTCTATGATAAACTTCAAGTTAATTTCTGAATTTGATGTGAGGTAGGGATCACAATTACTTTTCTCCATCTGGTTCTCTAGTTACTCTGGCCCTGTTTGCTGAAAAGACTTTCTTACTGCACTACTGCCCCCTCATTTTGAAAACCAATTGATAGTGTGTGCATGAGTCTATTTGTATTTTTTATTTTGTGCCATTGATCTTTATGTTTATGCCACTGTATCTTTCTTGCTCCTGTATTAATTATTACAGATACATAAGTATTGAAATCTGGTAGCGTAGGTCCTCCAAATTTGTTCTTTTTTTCCCAAAAGTATTTTGTCTGTTTTAGGCCCTTTGCATTTCCATGTAAGATTTACAATCAGTTTGCCTATTTCTGCCAAGGAATCCTGCTGGGATTTTAAATGGCATTGCATTGAGTTTGTAGACCAGTTGGGAAGGCAGACGTCTTAAATACTGAGTTTTCCGATCCATGAATTCAGTATATCTGTCCATTTATTTAGATTCATTTAACTTCTCTTACATAAACATATTTTTAAGTGTTTAATTTACTAGATCCATTTTATTTCTCCCAGTACTGTGAGTTTTCAAGCTACATATCTTGCACATCTTTCATCAGTTTTATTCCTAAGCAAATTATAATTTTCGATGTTGTTTGTAAATTTTTTTTATTTTGTTTACTAATTGTTACTACTATATCAGTCGGCTTTTATATATTGAGCTATCCAAGGCTACTCACTCATATTTGTCATGCTCTTTCTTTGCCTCTTAAAAAAATGAGTTTTCTAGAAACTTGTTTGTTTATATTCTCCTGCTATAATTTTGAAAAACTTCCATGTTTATTGCTCGTCATTTTATTATAGATGGCTGCAAGTATATCATCCAAAGTTTGAAAATTGTCTGACGTGATTCCTAAATTTGACCATGTTTTCATCCTTATTGCTGTGATAATTAAGGATTAAAGTCTTCATTTTACCACCTTTGCTTACTTTCTGCAAGTAAATTTGAAACTGATGTACCTCATGTTTATTGAGGATTCAGTTCCTTCTTTCTGGTTTTGGGTCTGGTTCTGGACCTTCAGAGATCAAAGCTATGCTAAATAACTTTTTCCTTGTGATTAGAAGAATTCAGTTGAAATTAGAGTCTTTGCTACAAACAGAGTCCATTTAAAAAATCAAACCAAAAGGAAGGTGTGTTTGTTGAGATGCTGTCCTGAGTTACGGTAAAATTAAGAGATCTTATAAGCCACCTCTTTCTATTTTTAGTATTAGGGCTCTTGAAGTTTAAGTGACAGAAACCCAATTCAAACTACTGTTAAGTGGAAAAACAGAGGACTTCACTGGTCCATATAAACAGGGATGATGAGGTTTAGCTAGATACAGAAACCTCATTGCTTCATCTCTTGGGGGAGGGCGGCTGCCTGCAAGTAAACATACAGGCAGCTGGTTTTCTAATCCCATGGCAAGAGAATCCCAGACGGCTCTGGCAGGAGAGTCTCAGGGAAACCTGGGATTGGTCCAGTCCAGGGTGGGAGCCCCCACAGAAACCAAGCATTGTTGCCAGCTGGGAAATGAGAAACTGGCCAGGCTAGCTTTGAGGGGCAGCGTAATTTTCTAAAGTCATGACTTCAAGCCCTAGAATGAAAATCTGTAAATAAGACACTAGTACTCCAGCTAATTTGTTAGTGGCAGGGCTGGGATTTTTGATCCTTCTTTTCACGCTAAGAGAATCATTAGATTTTGTGAAATATGAAAGGAACACCACACGTTAGCCTTTCAGACTTACAGAAACAACAGTCATTTTTAAATGAGTTAATATTGAATAAATGATCAGGAGGCATCTAAAAAGAAGAAGGAAGGTGTGTTGAGTTTAGTCCCAGTTCTTCACAGTTCCAAAATGTTCAGTGTGCTCTCAGGTCAGGTGGATCTGTCATACTGGCTGATACCATCTCTTTCCTTGGAGCAGTTGCCTCCTGGTGCCAAATGATTTTAAATTTGGTGTTGGACAGTAACAGCATGTAAAGTGGATTCACTGTCCAGCGATTGGCCGACACTGATACGGTCTGGTTTAGAAGCCAAATGCAAATATCTGCCATCTAACCCAGGAAATACTCAGTGACTAGTTGCAGGTGGGAAGCGAAGAAAGTGAGCAAACATTCCCTCTGAGTTCCTGCCCATCCCACTTTCTAGTGCTTGGCTATCTTGCTGTGGTCCAGGAACACTTACTAGGTGGGCAGTTCCTTGTGACGGACTCCTGAGCAAGTAAGACCAGACTCAGTCACTCTTCAGAATTGAGAGCCATTCATCTCAGCTGTGTCGTCCTTTATGTTCTCCCCAGTGAAGCCAAACCCCCTTGTCCTGTGTGGGTCACTGCTCACCAGAGAGCTCGGTTAACTGTTCATCACTGTTGAGACCTAGAGATGATTTCCCAGATACTTACTTTCTCAAATTGTGGCTCATCACTCTGCATACCATGGTACTATTTGCTGTCAGGAAGAAACTTCACTCAAACATGAATCTTAATTGTTTTTCTTTCCTCCTCTATTAAAGATATATCATAGGGACTCTCCTTTTTTATGAACCCATTGGTTTAGTTTTTCACGCCATTGTCCATGGCACTTTCTTCTTCACACGTGGGATTATATGGTGAATTTGTCCATTTGCCTGATTATTTCTGTCACGTTGACATGTACTAGAGGAAAACTCTCCAAGTCAGAGTGTCCCTTCCCTTAGCTCTGTGTTAATGGTCACATAAGGTCCCATCGGTAAGCAATATTGTGTACCTGCTGTACATATATGTCAGGCACTGTGCTAGATTCACATGATACAAAAGCACGTGAGATGTGGTTCCTCATCTTTTTGAGCAATAGAAGCTGTATGGTAAGCACTACCATAGAGGTCACACAGGATACACATCAACCTGGTCACTCAATTCTGTTAATGTTAAAAAATGGCTTGCAGTTAGTTTTTGCTTAAAGGTATGAGCTCTATAACAGAGGGAATATGACTGATTTTATTAAAAGCATATATGAACCTGTAATTCCAAGACACTGCAGAATTTTGTTATCCTCGAGGGAAGGATATATTTAAGTCCAAGTGATGCTTCTTGACTCTAAGATGTGTTCCTTTTACTATCTTTGGTGGACATAAATCTTCAGACATTTGACTTCTGAAAGTTACCTGAGTGAATAAGA